GACAAACCACAAGACAATGACTTCATAATGTCTCAGTTAGAATACATACAATATAAGGACAAGAGACACTGAGCAGTCAATCGTCACCTCACCCCTTGTCTATGCGTGCCCCCCTTAAGTTTTCCCTCTCAACATCAAAACATGATAAAGATTGCTATGGAAACAGTCAAAGTTGGTCACAGTACTGATCTTTCCACAATAGGATTCTTTTAAGTGTGCATTCTTTACATTTGTCAAAAGATCCACAATATTTGCTCATCCATATGTTTATATTATCAATTTGTCTTTCAATTTGTTCTAGCTCTGTTACAGTCTTTTTTAGTTCTTTTATAACCTTTTTCGACTTCTCGGATGACTTTAAACTTTGAACCTTCTTATTTACGTTTTGTATCTGACTTGTATAAGTTTGGATATGTTTATCATGCCTATCTTGCCATGTCAGGAATTCAAAGATAACTCTTTGGTCATCTCTAGCCTGTAACAAGAGTTGAATCGGTTTTCCAAGTCCTTCCAAGTTCTTGTCCTTCCAGTACTTGAGAATACATCTGTAGGCATCCATAGCTAGAGAATTACTTGACTGAAGCTGGCTACTATTAGTACTAGAGGCTTTGTCAGGACTATCTTGCAGGTGAAATTCTTCACTAAATTGTTTTATATGTTTTTCTATGGATCTCTCTTCAAACTCTCTATCTTTTTTAATCTTTTCAATGGCCTCAATAGTTTTTTTGGCAGGTTTAGGAGACACAACTTTATGAGAATCGTGTTTCTCAGCTTGGTCCGACTTGTTTTGTACTTTGTTGTATTCTGAGCAAATGCTAGCAAATTTCTCAATAGTCCTATATTCAGGAAGTATTTTGCATCCCCTTTCAAGCTCTCTGTAAAGCTGTATTTCAGTATTGCCTTTCTTCTCTAGCGTGTCCAGTTTTGAGAGGACTCTTGAATATAGAGAGCAGTAAGTGCCTTGGTACCTCTCATCAAACATTTCCGACAGAGTTTTCTTCTCATGTTTGTCCTTATAGGGACGAAAGGCTGTCTGCTTCTTACTCGTGGATTTCTTGTGAGAGCTGTCTGATAATGTTGATACTGTTTCCCTGACCAAAGCTTCTGCATGAGTGTGTTTCTCGATCGTCATAGCCTTTGTATTAATATTTGTGCTAAGAAGAGCTGTAGCACTAATGATTACTAAATGGTCAGTAGGGGATGGTTGGTTGCTGATAAAGATAGGAGAGTATATAGCCTGTACAAACGATTACATTACATGTACTTTGCTTTTCCAATACATCAGAACCAAGGTGACGTATTGTTGCAAAAATAGTACCAATCATGTTTGAACTTTTGAACTTGCCATCAGTTTTACATAAACAAACCGTCTGAATAAAGGACAGATTTGCTTTGGCAAGTAAAGAAAGATGTGAGTATTTAATTATGAGATACAAGTACTTAGGAAACCCTATTGAGTTAAGACGGATGTCTAAGCACTGCTTTGTATTTTCTTGAGAATCAATAAACAATACAGATGTTGATACACTCTGGTTCAATTGTTATCTGTGTTGTGATAGTTTTAAGTGTACATCTAGAATGATACATATAATACCAAGTATCCTGTATAAACATACTGACATGTCCATTGATTCCATTCTGTGCTTGACACAAGGGTAGCAGTGTTTACTAAAGCTTCTCTCACCTTAATAAATCTCAAGCACTGTGTGAAAGATGAAAGTATTACTGTTTACATTTTCGGATAGTGAATACTACAAAGGGCAGTACTGTAACTTTCTAAATTGTACAAGTGTGTATTTTAGTCCAACAAGGCAGGAGAAGTAAAAAAAATATATATATAGGTTGTAGTGTGTGTGCATCTTAGACTCTCCAAGAATTGTGTTGGATAGAATGATTAAGAGAAAGTACTATCTTGTGCTAATGTAATACTGTACATACAGAGAACATTGTAAAGGATTCAATTGTGGTAAATAAACATACCTTTTGTACTTTATACTCAAAATCTGAATGCAACACTTATTATGACTGCTTTATTAGCTCCTCTTAAATCCTCTCTCTAGGATCTTATAATGATGTACTCCTACAAACAATCTCCTTACTAATTTTCAAATTGAAATCACATTACTAAAATCGTTTCTTTATGTAAAATGTAAAAGATTAACTCTGATACTTTTATTCTTATAGTATTAGGACTAGACTTTGAGCATTTGACTATAGTAGCTTATATCTGTTCATTTCTTTGGTTTATGTCCTCTGCTTGTGTGTCCAGGACGCTCTCTCTCATTCTCTGTATGGTTTTTATCTCCTACTTTTAGGTTCTCTAGCTGTTCCTTAAATCGTTCATTTTCCCATAAGGTTTGAACATTTCTGAGTGCAGTTTCTTTATTTTTATTGCGATAACTAAAGTGTTTGGCTATCCATGCAAGTTCAGTATTGATCTTTCTTTTAATATCCTGCAGGTCTTGTTCAGTAGCTAATAATGCTTTCACACTTTCTTCAGATCTCTCAGACCATCTTAATTTTTCAACTTTCTCATTAATTTTTTCGACTTCACTCGAGAGCTCTTGTATCAACCCAGCATAGTTGTGTCTCCAATAATAATCATCAAGGATCAACCTTTGATAATTTCTAGCCTGTCTGAGGAATTCGATTGATTTTGCAAGATTTTCAAGGTCCCTCCTCCGCCAGAACTCAAGAAGGTACTCATAATCTTCTATGACCTGGGATTTGCCTGACAGACTCTGATCACTTGCATTAGTGGCTTTTGCAACATTGCTCTGCAGGTTAAACGCTTGACAGAGTTGCTCGAGAGCATAATCTATGCATTGTTCATGGCTCTCTTTATCATCTTTAGCCCATCGTTCTTCCTCTTCGAGATCTTCGACTCCATGGGAACCGATGTCTTTAGCTTGCTTCAGCTTACTTTGTACTTTGTTGAGCTCTGAGCAGTAGCCTCTGTATTCCCAAATATCGTCTTCATGTGGAAGCGAGTCACATCCTTTCTCGAGATCATTGAGAGTCACTCTCCCATTGCCTTCTATATTTTGTAGGTCTTGCAATTTCACAAACACTCTTGAGTATAACGGCCTGTAGACGCCCTGGTACTTCTCATCAAACACCTCAGCCAGGGTTTTACTTGGAGGTTCACTCTTACGCTTGTCTTTGTGAGAATGTAAAAATGACGATCTCTTGCCGCTAGACCTTCGGTCAGAGCTGCTCGACAATATTGGCCTTTCTGCTTCATCGGAAGACTTCGGGTTGTTTCTTGACCGCCGTGAATGTTTCCACACAGACATTTATGGTGAGAAGCTTAAGATCTATTGCAGTAGAATATTTCTGAGTGGTTGATTGGAAGAAGGGTCCTTGTGCAATGACGGTGGGACTACTATATAGGCTTTGGGGCCTACTGTTCTTCAGGTTTGCTTTCCTTCATCGCGAACATTAGAACAGACGATTTCATCATGACAATGACAAACATGTCACAGAACACATTTTCATTTGTCCATTTCGAGGCCTGCTTCATGATGGATTTTAATATGTGGCACACGCATGATTGCGTATCATCTTATGATGTCTGCAGTGTGTGATGTTGACGGCCAAATATGGTAGTCAAGTTTGCATATTGAATAATTGATGTTCTCACGGTGAATGGAGTCTTGCCTCGCCTAACCTAACAAACATGCCGGTCCATTGCCAGATAAGCTTGATTTTTCATGAAGGGTCATCGACAAAAACTCTGCCCCAGCTGGTCCAATCTTTGTTTCGTCCGGCCTAATTATGATTGTGTAAACATTTACAGTCGAGCAGGTAGTCGAAGTGGACGACAAACACGACAATCGAATTTGAAGGGAAGGAACAGACGAAACGTGAGCCACCCATTCTTCACTGAATCTTCAGATGATTTACGTGTTGGACTTCACTAACTGCAACAACCCCCAGTGATCCTGTCTCTGATTGATTTCGACTGCATCGTCCACGAAAAAAAGTCAAGTATTCGGAATCATGCATACTTATAAACTGATATCGCCACCGCGCACAAGGCACCGCGATGCTTGCCTCGTCGACCGCCATCCTTTGCGAAAGCTACATTGACACTGTCCTCGAAAGAAAGCCTGCTAGTGCATCCAACATTCGCAAGTCCATCGGCAAGTCCATTTTCCTTTCCGACGCATGCTCTATTTCTAACTTAAATTTTAAAATCAGAGAAACTCTTGAGTGTGTATCCGTGAGAACGATATCCAAAGGCGGGAAAGCGTGAAATTTGTGGGTTGATTCGGTCTCAAGTCGAGCATGACGACACAGTGCACAGCGATGTGTGACACGAACAGCTATTCGATACACTGAGACAGGGCGTCACTGCTATGAACTTCAGTACCAATGAAGCGTTTCTTTCTAAACGACAGCTTTTTCTCTGGGATACTGGCGCTTTTAGTAAATTCAGATCATGATCACCAACAATGCTGTATATGTGAGTACCCTTGCAAGACTTCTCACGAATTATCGGATCGGCAACAAGAAATAAATTCACTGTTTTGCAATTCAGCGCATCACTCCACAGAGCTGTATCTTATGTCTCAGACTGTGGGTAACTTGGTGCTAGAAGCCTTTGCCGAGCAAATATTACCTGTGTCCGCAGTCGAGCGGTCGTTTATGCTATGGAGAACGGTGGAGACGGCGTTCCTTATTTTCAAAATTTATGAAAGCGATGGGATGGCGATGCTGGAGTTATGAACGGTATAAAAGCTACCAGTGGATTTAGAGGGATTGCGCATACTCGTCGTTGCATTCGATTTCGACTTACAGTTATCAAACTTCCTTCTCATCACCTGCCGTATCTCCTGAAAAACATCTGCAATATGTTCGCTAAGCACCTCGCTGTTCTTGCCGTTGTTGCAACTGCATATGCCCTTCCGGTAAGCCAAGGTCTCTATGTTGAAAAATTCCGAGCATGATTATTAACTAGAGGTTATCACTAGGCCCCACAGATTACTACAGTACCAGGCGGAGGGGGTTCTGTCTCTCCTAGTTCAACGGTCACTACTTCGCCGAACGGAGGTGGTACTACTACACTTTTCGGGGGTCCGACCATTACGAACACTGCCGGAGGATGGTCTAGTCCCCTATCGCACTCTTCGGGTCCTTCAGGCTCCGGAAGACCGACGGTGTCCTCTTGCAGCGCCGTGACGATCAGTGAGACAGCATCCGCATCGAAGGTTACTACGACCTCTTCCAGTGCCATATCGAGCCTGTTGCCCACTACAAGCACGATTGGCACAAACGGTACTATCAGTACAACGTACACATCCGTTATTAGTGACCATTTTCCGACTCCGACAGTATCTAATGGAAGTGTCAACACGATTGCGACTGGCTCATCGAGCGGGGCGGCTTCTCCACCTCCACCTGGCACATCGAGCGGGGCGGGCTCTCCATTCCCTCCTGGCACATCGTCGGGGACGAGCTCTCCAGCCACGACCGGCTCCACCACTGGTGGTTTCAACCTCAAGGCTTAGCTCTGTATTGATCTCTTTCAACACCTAATTACTAGCACCCTATACCTATGGGAAATCGTTTAAGGAGGCGGTGTGATATTTAAGGACTGGGGACGGGTTGGAGTCGGATGGATCGGAGTGGTAATATTTATTATTCATATGGACTTGTCCTTGACTTGGACGATTCATGTAGCGACTTTCTGTATGCATGCCATCATTAGAATCTATAGATAGTGATTGAGGGAGATTACGTGGCTAATTAAACTTAGAAGTCGATCATAAAAATGTAATCGTGGGAACATTTTGATTGTAATATTATATAAGCTAAACAGGGATGACCCTTAGCTTCCCTAATCCCTTTATTCCGTCCGTCGCAACAAACATCACTGCTCCGCGTTCCGCTCAAGAGCGCGCCGGACAGAGCGCAATGAACGACGCGTCGGTCAAGACAGGCGCGCCTATATCGTCCAAAGTTCGTACAGTATTGCGCGGAGGGCGAGGTGGACTCGGAACCACACACGGACATGGACACGGACATGGGCACGTGAAGAACAAGACGTGGATTGCTGGACGGGCGTCGGCCTCACCGTCTCCCGCGCCTGATGGACGATGGGAAAGAGGACGTGGTGGAGGTGCAAGCAGAGGAAGAGGACGAAGTGCACGCACCGGCGTCAATGGACATATGACGCTTTCTGCGAACGTCACAGAGGACGAGGATGACGAAACTGGTGTTTCTGAAGCAGGCCCTTCACGTGTGCCTTCTCCCAACCTGACTAGTACGAACGGTGCAGGAAAGACATGGGAAGAGGTGTGTTGAAAATTTCGTCTTAAAATTAAAGGTGGAAGTTGTTCGATCACAATGTTGCTTTCCGTGTCGTGTCGTGCGTTTAGCTCGTCAAAGAGCGCGAATCAGAACGTGCGCGTGCAATTCGCGAAGGCAAGATGGACGATCCGACAAAGCCAAAGCGCCTAGATGAAGCCATCACGATTGTCGGTACCTGTCAAGATATGTGCCCGGAATTTGAGCGATATAGACGAGAACGAGAGAATAACCTGGACAAGTGGGAATGCGTGCGTGTGCTGTTTGTTTGCTAACGAAGATGACTTTACACTGCAATTCATATGACTTGGTATTGTGCTGAATGACAGATTGTTGGCCCGGATGGGAGGCCGACGAAGAAGGTGGACCATGCACGAGCGGTGAAGATTTACGAGCGTGGTCAGGGAGACAAGATCATCCCTTCGGACTTACGACCTGCACCTGTTCTCAAAGTGCGCAGCAAAATAATCACGTCGATTCGCATCTCCTCAATTTAAATGTATTTTTTTAGAGAACGCTTGACTATCTCTTCCACGCTCTCATTCCGAGAGGTGGCTTCGCCGATACTCAAGCGTTTGTACGCGACCGATCACGCGCGGTTCGCAATGACTTTACGATTCAGCAAGACACAGGACCCATCGCTATGGAATGCCACGAACGTTGTACACGATTTCACATCCTGTCCTTACATCTTATGTATGGCATACGAACGTTCGATAGAGCGTTGGAGATTCAACAACTTATGAATTGTAAGTCTGTAGTTAAATAGCGTGCTTCTGTATTACTAAAACAGAGAAGCTCTTCTGTCATTAAAAGAGTTTTACGACGACCAGCGAGGAAACTACCAATCACCGAACGAGCTCGAAATGCGTATTTATCATCGTCTTGGCCTCATTCGCGATCAACACGAGCGCAACGACAGGCCACCACCGCACATCGCTACTGATCCAGCATTCCAGCTCATAACTCGTTTCCGGTCTGAAGTGCAACGAGCGAGCGTTCCAATTACGAAAACATCGCAGATGAAGGTCAGTGCCGAGGCGATGCAAACTTTCATGGAACTCGCAGGTGTTCTACGCGAACGCAGAAATATCGTTATGATCTATTTGATTGCGTGTTTTCTTGAACATATTTTTGGGAAGGATACGATTGACGATATGGAGAGTATTAAGGGCGAGTTGTCGATACAAGATATTATTGATGGGAATTCGGATGCCGCGATGTCGGACGAGGCAGAGGATGGTGACATTGAGGATGCCTATATGGATGACGAGATGATTGAGGAAGATGATGATGGGCAAGAGGAGGATGAAATGAACGCTTTTATCCAAGACGAGGATGGCGCGGCAGAGAGCGGCAACGAAGTCTCAATTGAGGTTCACCCTCCAGAGGAAGAGGCACCCATTCCGAACAACACAAGCATTCTTCAATCTCAGTCTGCACCTGGTAATTATCGAATCGTGTTACTCACGACATAGTTATGACTCACATGACGTTACTTACAGCCGTCTTTCCTTCTTCATCTCCTTTTGGGAACTCGACGAGCCGGTCACCTTTTGGCACGATTCCTGCAAACGAATCCGTCTTTGGAAAGATTGTCAGTTCATCATCAACACCATCAGTCTTCGGGAATACGGGGTCTTCGTCTGTATTCGGGAATGCGATGAACTTGTTCAATTCCAGGCCAAACGTCTTTGGTGGACCTGTTTTTGGCGCCTCTACTGTCGCTAGTTCATCGACACCACCGAAGTCCGCCGAGACTGCCGGTCAAAGCACGACATCCATGCCGCCGTCGACTTCCACTATCTTGCAGGAGACTAAACCCTTGCGAAGTCTTGCTGACTCCGCACCTCTTGCTTCAGGTGGAGGGGAGGATCACGTTGACCCATCTGAAACTGTACAAACCGCACCTCCGCCCCCGCCTTTCGCTTCTTCCAGGAGTGCGCCCGTGCTTAATCCTGCTGCCCCGAGCTTTGCACCTGGAGCTATAAGACCTTCACAATCTTCTACACCGTTTGCTGCCGCCGAAGCACGAGCCAACCTAACACCAATCCGGACCGATTCGTTATGGAATAGGATAATAGACCCGAATCGAGGAGTCTTTGCAACGCCGGTGGACTCCCCTTCACAACCTTTCCCTTCGCCTTCGCCTCGGAGACCTCAGAGTGGGTCTTCGTTATCGATTAATACGACTTCCGCTCTACAAGTGCCTAGCGGGAGTCGGAATACCTTGGACTCACCTGTTGCTCCGCCAGCATTGCGTAAGGCGCCAATTTCTCTGCCTGGGACACCTACAGCGTCGTTCTCAGCCTCCTCGATACCACCTGTTGAAGCGATTACTCCAAATACTCCCTATCATTTTCCCGCGCTACGGGTCAACATTTCTTCAACGACGACTAGCACTCCAAACCTTCTCCCTCCTTCTAGTTCGCGAATAGTCGAACCGAGTGGTACTTCACCTAGGCCTGATCGTCAACCTCCTACTTCATCGCCATTAGCTCGAAACACTGACGTGTTCGGAGAAAAGTTGATAGACTCACTTAAATCTGTCGAGGAAAAGCGCGACTTAAACGATCAAGCTTATGCTTTCAGTCGAACACACGGAATGATCCCTACAATTTACAAGCGATGGAAACAGAAGATAGTAGACAACGCAAAGTGGAAAGAAGCGTGTCAGAGGAGTGACTCGTATAAACAAAAACTCCACGAGAGTACGACGGATAGCTCGCTTGGTTCGCTTGGTTCTTTCCCTTCGGCTTCGTCTTTTAAACGACAACGAAGTGCGTCGGAGTTGAATACGGAGCAACAGAAGAGACCGCGACGGTATCATAAACGGATCTCGAATCCTGCGGAACAGCGGACTGACGAGGAGCTGGCAGAGAAGCTCATGCAGGTGTGTTCTTGTTTGTTCTTATTTCTCGTGGAGCAAATACTGAGGGATTTGGTAGAATCGACAAAAGTACGAACGCAGATGGGCAAGAGGATTATTCACAAAAGCCATCCAAGATGATGTACGATCTCGGGTTAGAGAGATCCCGGCAAGCTGGGCTACGTGGTTATGTATGAACCCGGACAATGACAAAACGGCGATTTGGCTAGAACAGAAGTTTGACGTACCGAAATCAGGGAATTGGGTATCCGAAGCCGTTTTTGCTATTTCCGCGTCGGAGACACCGGAGAAAGAAGTATTTCCGGGATTGATCGTTTTTGAGTGTACACCGCTTGAAGGGGCAGGTGATGATATCGAGAGGAAATATCGGGTACTTGACGATTGTTCGAGGTTAAGAGACGTCGTCTCTACGCTGCCGGAGGACCGACATTATACACCTTCAATTTTGTTCATCAACTGGGACTCGAGCTCTGGGAACGAAGTCGATCCTGAGATCTCGCATATGGTACGTCGCAACTCTCAAGCATAACATGACGCTGTAGTCTTATTCGCGATGTAGATTGCAAAATACATAGAAGATGGCATACTTCGAGATAGTGTAACTGTCATCATGTCTTCAGATGACACCAATGAAACGTTTGCGAACTGCCTATCGAGAGTGGACGTCGATCTTCGTGGAGATCTCGTCGAAAAGCTCAATTTATCCGGTCGGTATCTGGTCTGACTTACATGTCATTGTTTTGATTCTGATTGCATTCTTTTCTTCAAGATCTTTTTGAGTGGTTGAGCCCACCTTGGAGTGAAGCCGCGTCGATATGGGTGGATGCTTGCTCTGCTAATGAGACCTGTGAGTTTGTTAAATTATGCGTGACTTTTCAAGCCGACAGCTTATTTGTTTTGTCGTAGTTGACTGGCGAATGTTTACCTATGTCGTGGAACATTTCGTCGAGAGTCTGAATGCCTTGCTTGGTTTGGTCTCCTCTTTATGGCGTAATGCATCTCCTCGTGTTTCACCTTTATCGCTTCCACTGTTCGGAAAGGAGAGGGACGAACAGTACGTCATTCTATTACTCTGGTATCAAACAATGCGAAGTCCTAATTTTTCATGTATTGTCCCTATAGATCGGTACCAAGTGTCATCGCAGACTGGTTACGCTCACCAGGCCTTGAAGCACATCATTTGGCAAGTCACTACTTATCTTCCGGGTTCAGTGCAGGTACGAACTCTTTCTCGATACCTGTCTTGAAGTAAATTTAGAGGTTTACAGGTGCAGAAGCACGGACTTTCTTCTATGACCTCCTTCAACTTGCCTGTCTCCACGCTCAACGATGGCTAGGCGATACGCCGCATTACCAGCAGCAAGTCATACCAAAGAAAACTCTCGAGGAGGCATCTGCTCAATTTACGGAAGCTTTGGAGCGGGCTGAAGGCAGGTTACGAGCTTTGGTCAAGTCATTGCCTCGGGCATCGCCGAAACGCAAGGCGAACGGGACCGTTAATGGGAATAGCAATGGGAACGGCTTCTTGAGTGGGAATGGGAGTGTTTCGCAGACTTCGAGGTATGTCCTCTTTCACATCCTTTATACTCCGAGTTTCTCTATGAAAGTGGAAACTAAGTAACGGTCGCCTGTATCTATAGTCCATCCCCGCAATCCCCTTCAGTCAGCACAAAACGCGCTCGTGTCTCACAATTACACTCGTTTGAGCCGTTAGTGGAAGACCAAGACGATGATCAATCGTTCGTTGTGCCGACGCCTCCTACCCCGAGCGTGGCTACATCCGTGGGAGCCAACTCAAGCGTATCGAGTATCACTGCTGCGATGCTTCGCGCGCTGTCGAGAGACGTGATCAAAAAATACGGAGGAAAGGGTAAGAAGAGAGAGAGCGGGAGTTAACCTAGCTCCCCACTACCCACCTTGGGAGATACTAGGGGCGATTGTATTTCTTTCTAATGTGCCATCTGTGTGACTCATTCCGTCCTTTGGGATCGTTTTTTGTTATTAAATTGGTATCAGGGAGGACATCTTGCATATTGACCACATGCTTTGCGTTATAATCTTGTCTTTATTTCCTCTCTTTACAATTATTTATCAACTCTTTTTTTAAATATACTATCCGCACGTGTACATGTACCTAATCGCACACTCAAAACTATCTATCTGCACATTTCGCATATCATTGAGACGCGTTTGTGGAAATGAACAATTTCACAAGGGTCGTTAGTATTCCGTGCACTACTTAGACATGTTACCTATTAGAGTTTAGGATTCAACATGCATTCACAACTACAATAATACATAAAAGTACAACACAGCGGCGTATGAGAACTGAGTTAAGCACGAATTTTTCCCTCCCATTTTTCACGTTCTTTCCTTGTTGTACAACAAAATTCCGAGTTAGATTTGCTCTTTTTTTGCTACCTCGAAGACACCTCGCGTCGCTGTTCTTCACCCACGTCCTTTGCCATAGCCTTAAACGCATCAAAGTCATCCTCTAGCTGTGCACAAGCAGGGCTCGCAGCGCGGAGGGCGTATGCTTCAGGGAGGGAGTCAGTGAGGAGCTTGATACGTGCTCGTCCGGTTGGATGAGTCTGCAGTACGGATAGGTTTAGTCGGGAGGCTCCGCCTCGGCGTTCGAGGGTTTCTAGACGTGTTTGCATGCTGTTGTGTCACGAAGAACGTGAGAAATAAGAAGTAAGTGGTAAGAGGTAAGAGGTAAGAGAGGGGTCATCATGGATTAAAAGTCGCTCTGGGTACTCACGAAACAGCTCCCCGCGGGTCAAAGCATGCGCGGGAAGCTAACTGGAGGCCTATCTTGTCAGCTATTTAAAAGCAAGCACAAAAAAACGGATTGTTAGACTAATTTTCAGAATTTTATGGATGTAAAAGGAACAACGGACCTTCAAGCTCCTGTATACGTGAGTTCGGCAGATGGTAGAGGTACTTCATAATCACTGGAAGAAAACCGACATCATATCCTAAGAAATATAAGATGTAGTATACAGCGTTTAATAACAGTGTCTTCGAGAGCTTTTCGGATACGTGACGCGCCACTGATAGGAAAATAACATTGTATAAGCGAGATAGACTTCGTCGAAACAAATATATAAAGATTGGCTAACCTACATGTGCGATCTCTGGACAAAAAAGCATAGTTTGCATATTCAGAAACGTCCATAGGTAAAGAAAAGGTGTACTCAAACTCACCATGACTTAGGACAGCGGCCAGACCATTCATGTCATACGCAACGGGAAGAATACCAGTAAAGACAATGATGTTACCTTGAATCGCAAGAGCTAAGCTAGTTTCTGAGACCAAGGAATACTTATTGGCATACCACTTCCAGCCATCGCATTTACGATACTATCATCGTGAACTACGATTAAGTTCCACTCACGGTGTGCGCCGCCTATATAAGGATCGGATAAACTCTTATCATCCGCAACGAAATCGGTCACCGCTCGCTCCGCATCAGGATCCCATATCTCCACATCTGCGGTTTGAGATGTTGAGCCCTTTTGGCCCTGAGTTGGAACAGATGTGTTGGATAGAACCCCAAGCTCGTTTGCTTCGAGAATTGCAGATACAACAACTCGGATTTGTTGCGTTATGGGATGGTCTGGCGGAAGAATACGCCCACCGTATTCCTTTAAAAGCTGTGTGTGCTCGTCCTTTACAAGCTCAGCTTCCACTTGCGGAGGGATTCCCATGAATCTCCAGCGTCCAGTCTGAGGCACACGTTCCAAGCTTTCTCATGCAATATTTGTGTGGTTATGTGATGTTATTGGCTAAGACATTGGAGAAAAAGAACATAGCTGTACGCACTGAAAAAAGTAGTAGATTGCAGCAATCCCAATTGCTGCACCGGCTACATATAGTTCTATTGTCACAACGAAGGGGGACTCTTTCTCGTTGGGATCCTTTTGAGGATTGTGCCGAGAATCGCTGTAGCATCTTCGCAGACGTCGCTGATGCGAACCTGATGCAAGGCTTTGGCGCAGTATAAATGAGTATCCTGGGGTTATAGCCAGTGTATTTGGGGCAGAGAAGGGAGATGCATAGGGATAAGTATGTGCTGGATGTCTGAAACGCCCGAGTGCTTGAATTCGCGGAGCATCGTGATTTCGTCGAGCAGGAACAGTGATCCAACGGATACCGGCTATCCTATCAGCCTTCACAGAAAGATTGGGGGAAAATGAGCGGCGTGGTGGCCGAAATATTTGCGGACGTAATGAATAAATTAAAGTTGCCATGTAGAGAACGCAGTCGTAGGTAGAGGTCAAGGAGCATTCGACGCGTTGACGCGTTTGGGTCACGTGCATTGACTGTGTAATTCCTGCTTCTGGCAATGTTCTGTGGCCTGCCACTTTCGTTGACATATAAAAATGTCCAGACTAAGAGGAACCACGAATTCGCTTAACGACTCTTTCTCTCTCTTCCCGTGTCTGACCCGAACTTTGACCAAACTAGAATGCCTTGCTGTGTAACCCAATTTCGTTATAACGGCAAGTAAAAGCATTGGCATCTTTGCAAAGGTTGATGCTAATCTGGTTCATAGGTATAACCTACGTATTCGAAAGCTATCACGATGGAGATTGCATAGGAACTGGTCAACGAATAGTGGATTCGATTCCGACTTCCACTGATGCATACAAAGGTACAGGCATTTAAATGAATTAGACGGTGCATAAACTTACCAGAAAATATCTTTGTTCTAAAGTGTGGCTTGAGGATAGGAAGGCTTTCTTTGTCGCCGAATATGAAAGGATTAAGAATCTCGAAAAGGAACATGGAGGACTGGTTGAAGACTACCTCTGGCCCCACGCTAAGATACCGAGCGAATGCCCCGAACTAGACCCAAGCTACGAGTATTACTATTTCGTAGACCTCACTACCGAAGCATTCTGCGTCTCCGAAGCTCAGTTTCCTTTATGGAACGTTCCTCGTGGTGAAAACGGTGACGACTGGATGCAATACCTAGATTGGGATGGATTCTACACCCCTATCCTGCGGCCTGATACTCCAAGGCAATTTTGTCACCGTGTTTCGATTAAACCACCCCCCGTCTCGGAGGACTTACTTACATCTTACCGGTTTGTGGCTCGGGATGTTGAAATAATCGACGAATCAACGTGGATGACTTTCAGCGATGACCATCCAAGCTCGATTCTCGCATCCTGTATCACTCGCGGGCTCATGATGTACCACAACAGCAAAATTCATGCTGGAAGCCCGTTCAACCTTCGCAGTCCGAAACTTCTCCACGCCTATGCCAAGCTTCTCTTACGTGCTGCTTCTCCCGCTGGCTTATTTCTTTCTGCTGCACGCGGCGCAGATGATTTTCCAAATTACCCTTTCGATAATCCCTCGCGGAACTTCTATAGATACCGAGGCTGTATTGTGTTCGTCACGCCGGATTGCTCAACTGCAGAGCGTCTCCAAGCCCATATCGTATTCGCCATTAAACATGCTCAAGAAACGCGAAGAAACAACTGTACCTTCATCATTTTCTCAATTCAGCACATCGCGGTAGCAGAAGTGACTGGTGCTGTTTCGGGGACGCTACACGTTTCTCATAGTAATATCTTGCCATTCTTGGATGCGTTTGGATACGAAGGCTTCGAAAAAGGTCTCAACCTTATTTCACATTATCTACGGCCGTATGCTATTGACGGGGGCCCTGTTATGCATGTTTCACCCGAATCAGGCTTGCAAAGCCCTGGCCGCCCTTTCCTCCCTCTCGAAATCATCCTCCGCATAATGGGCTTGGTTGATTTTGAGACGTACAATACTCTCAATCTGGTTTGTAAGGCCTTCAGAAGGGAATGGTTCCAGCATCCGCGGATCTGCAATTACAGGATACTCTCCGGCAAGATGTTACAGACAGAAACTTGCAATTATCTCCCCAATTCAAGGTTTTCTGCCATGCGAGATGATGGGTCAAAGACGTCTCTACGCGTCTTCTACCCGGTAGGCCGCTTTCATAATAACTACGATGCAGAAAATTATATCGAACGGAGCCACGATCGCTGTTGTCCCCACCCTCACCTGTGCGATGACAGGAAATGCGCCAGGCCTCTCAAACTGTACCTCCTGCCTCGGTGTGAACAATTCTGCAAGCTTCCATGGGAGAACTCACCTTGCATTGGCATCAACTGGCAAATGGCGCTTTATAGTGAAGCCACTCGGAAGTGGAACAGGTACATGCCCGGTCTTTTCCTTGTGGATATCGAACATGCTTGCGATGCTTGTGTTCGATGCTTTGAGATGGATGAAATGGAAAATTCAGGCTTTACTCATTCCTTGTCAGATTTCTTTGGATGAGTTATCATTGGGTACGCTTTCCGAAGGGTCTAATGACTCGAAGCCCTCTCCATGATCCTCGTCACAGACGCGATAAAATGCTCCGGAGAAGCCCTGCCTTGTGTTATATATAGAACTGAACTTGTACTGCCTTTCTTATCATCTCGCCATTTATTTTACACGTCAGAACTTGCAACGCCTTTCACGTTTTAGCGATTCTCATATTTTACCTGTATACTGTCTTCTACTCCTTTTCCATTCCTGGATTAAGTAGGGAACATATCAATAGATGAGAATTTGAAATTACTGTTACTTAAAATAGGCATGTAATTTGAAATTATTTTCGCGAAAATGCTAAATTTATCTTCGCATGAATGCTGAATTTTCCAGCTTTCTGCATGCATGTCTAAGACTAGGCAATCGTTCATCAGATCGAAGTGTTTGGGTCTGGGGGATTAAGGGTTGAACATAATCGCTTCCAAAATTTCTATTTAGACGATCCTTCACCACTATTTTGTAAGTAAATGAATAGTACCTAGCACGTGCGAAGTCTTAGCGTCATTTTTCGTTTGAGCCACTTGTTTGTCTTCTCGTTCACTAACACAACTTATCCCTCTGATGCTGTAAAATGGGGACTAGTTGCGCAATAACGGTTCATCATAAAGGTATAGTTATTTGTCAAATGTGTTCGATTATTAGTGCTCAATCTCGTCAAATGGCTTTACAGGAATAACCTTTGTACGCGACCAATGGTGTGACGGATATCCATCAGGCGGCGCCGGGCAAGATTTAGTGACAAGAATCCCTTCTGAAAATGGTGCCTACAAAGGTAAAGTAATGTTCCGAGGATTATGAGCTGTAGAAACTTATCCGATTACTTTCTGCTTTTGCAGTATGGCTTGAGAGGACTAGGGCTTTCTATACGCGTGAAATGGAAAGGATCAAGAAGCTGGAAGAAGAACGCGGAATCCTTGATGACTGGGACTACGAGCCTTACCGCCAGAGACCGGACGAAAGGCCTGGCCCTGATCCGAATTTCATGTACTACTACCACATTGACCTGGATACTGAGCGGTTTTCCGTCTCAGTTGCTCAGTTCCCTCTCTGGAACATACCCCGAGGAGACGACGGAGAGGAGTGGATACGGTACTTAGATTGCGACGGATCCTATAAGACTGTCCTGCGTCCTGATGCGCCAAAGCAGAACTGCTATCGAGTTATACTTGAGCCACAGACCGTCTCAGAGAACGGATTGGCCGCTTACCAGGCTGTAGCAAATAGTATCGACATGATTGACGAGTCTACATGGATGACTCCCAGTGCAAACCATCCAAGCCTGGCCATTTCATCCGCTATCACTCGTGGTCTCATGATGTATCACAATGGCAGCATTTATGCGGGACCAGCAGAGCGCTATCGTTGTGATACCAGATCATTCCACACCTATGCCGAGATTCTCTTACGTGCTGCGTCTCCTGCTGGGTTTATTCTTTCCTTTGCGAATTCAAAAAAGAAGTTTTATAACTATTCTCCAAGTTCCCCCAGTGGCGACCCTACATATACCTTCTATCGATATCGAGGTTGTATCGTGTCAATTGTGGAGGATTGCTCAACTCTGGAACGCTTGCACGCCGCCATTGGGCTCGCCATTGAACACGCACGAGAAGTAGGGAAAGACGCTTGTACCTTCATCATTTTCTCTATTCAACACATTGCCGTAGCGGAAGTTAAAGGAGCTGTCTCGAGAACACTGCACGTTTCTCACAGCAATATTCAACCATTCATGGAGGCGTTTGGATACGAAACCCTCGAGAAAAGCCTCAGCCTCATCGCGCATTATCTACGCCCGCATTGCATAGCTGACAGTGCTATCAAGTACGTTTTACCCGAAGAGGACTCGAAAATTCCAAGCTACGCTTCCCTTCCTCTCGACGTCCTTCTCCGTGTAATGGAACTGGTTGATTCGAAGACGTATGATACATTCAGCTTGGTTTGCAAGTCTCTACGAAAAGAATGGTTTCTACATCCACGAGTCAGTGATTATAGGATAAATGCCGCCGAGACATTTGAAATGGAGATTTGTAACTACCTCCCTAGAGCAAGACTACACGGGTTTCGGGCGGATGGAACGGCTACGTCTCTGCTCATCTTCTATCCAGTGCATCGTTTCCATGATGATGACGATTGCAAAAACCGTATCAAATGTCGTTACAACTCCTGCTGCTCATGCCCTCATCTGTGCATTGAAAAGAAATGCCCAAAGCCTCTCCAACTGCAGGCTCCGCTTGAAAGTAAAGGGATCTATCGAATTGATGAGACACGCACTGAGCGGCAGGACGGTGAGAGTCTTTACTGGGAGTATATTTGGTCGTGGGAGGAGTACATGCCTGGCCTTGTCCTTATGGACCCCAACAATGTTTGCGAGATCTGTGCCAGACGCTTTGACGTGGAAAATTTGTAGGATCACTGGAAACAGCTGAAATCTCCCGAAGGTCTGAGGGATTGCCTTTGATCAACTCTTGGATTATTTTCGCCATCTTTACCTATATAAATGTGTTAAATTTGATTAAATGAATAAAGGTACACTATGAACAAGCGACTGAGTCATATTTTTTATCGAGAGACAAGCTCTCAGGATGTCAGAGGTACAAGAAATATGTAAATGGTCGTAATGATCTGCACAGTATTGACAGTTATGACTATGGTATGCCTTTCATTATACTCCGGCTTGCAAATTTTTCTATTCACCTCTGATCCTGCATTATTCAAGTAATTCAGCAACCGAGGTGAACTCTCGTGTGGTTATGTGGCTGGCTCGAGTTACAGTGTAGAGCAACTTGTACTTCTTTCTAGTGCTAGCTGCCTGCATTCGTATAGTCGTGGACTCGTATTTGCTTCATTTTGAACTGTTAGTTTTGCACCATCTCCTTTACAACACGTCATTCACAACTTGGGTTGGGGTTTGCAATCCTTTTTACTTAACTCATTGTCATTACCTAATTCGTACTATGGGTATTACTTCCTATTTTGGTCACGTAAAGAACGCGGCAGCGAAGCATCGACGATCCTATTGACACAAATTTGAAATTGTTATTCCTTAAAATAAGACAAGCGATATGAAATTAGCTTTGATATCGGAAACATTATATATGCCTTGTCATAGATACGTCTGCGTGCAAATGGCAAGCGCCCATTTGGAGTATCTGAAAAATAAAGGTTGAATCCGCAACCTTTTCCACATTATTTTATTTAGACGATTCTTACTAGTAATTCCCTGTATAGAAGCACGTGCTTGCGATCGTTTTAGCATCCACATGGGGCATTTCACAAT